TTGAAAGCTGAGTTCGGTGCTTTTAGTGATTTCTGAACCTCTCCATTTATCCAGGGGGGCTGGTTGGCCCGGGTGGTGATGTTACTTTTGATGCTGACGTCCTCAATGCGTTTGGTGATGTAGGCTGACACAGTCATGGCAGACTCATCTATATTTAATAAGTTGTCATATGTTGCTGCAGCCTTGAAGATGTTCCAGTCAGAGCATTTAAAACAGTCCTGGAGTTTCTCCATGGCCCCCTCAGACCACACTCTGACCTGCTTCACTGCTGGTTTAGCCCTGATCAGCTGGGGGTTGTATGCAGAAATGAGCATATCAGAAAGGTGAGATCTGAGGTCTGGGCGGGAGCTGCTCTGAATGCATGAACATGCAGAGGTTACAGAAACACTTGAAGCAGCAGAAGGGGAGATGTGTGGATCTCCAGAGACCTGCAGGACGTCTCCAGCTGATGGAGAATCTCTGTGTTCGTCTCCAGATGAGCCATTAGCTTGGCGGGTCTCCCTCCTGATGAAGAGCTTAGAGATTCATTAATCACTGCTGGGAAGGGGAGGCAGGGAGCTGAGAGCTGCAAACTGCAGCTTTGAAGGCTCATTTGGTATCTGTGGCTTTAAAGGGTCAAAGGTTTAAAGTTTGACGCGGATTTTGTTGGAAACGTCTGAAAAACTTCAGTTCAGGAACTAATTTAGTGGCTCTTTTGTTTCTCTGGAAGATGCTTGTAGTTTATTTCAGACTTTTAGGGATGGTTGCTTTTTTAACCCATTAATGTCAGCATCACTTGATTTTTTAATGAGAAGCTGTGAGAAATCCCCCCCCCCACACACACACACACACACACACGGAGGAAGATAGAGGAAGTCCAGCTCAGTGAGGAAAACTAAAACTTTACTAAAAACTGCTGAGAAAATAGAGATGGAAATTACCCAGAATGCTTTGCCCTCTGAAAGGAAATCCATTGAAGGTGAGAGGGTGGGAGTGATCGGCCGTGACCACGGTGAGCGTTTCCTCCTCCTTGGTGAGTTCCAGGCCCTTGGCGATGGCGTCATCGAAAGCAATGGCCTCATGGAGGGCCATGTAAGCGCGGCCGGCGTGGTGCGCCTGGTCGATCCTCCCCCCTGGAACACCAAGGGTTAAACAGCAAAGCCTGTTTACTCACTTATGTGCAAATTAGATTTATTCTATGTCTGTATTTACACCATGAATGATTCGCTGTTCAAAGCTTCTCAGGACTTTGAATTGATGTCCAGATGTTTGCTTTGGGAATATTTCACATATTCGTTCATGTTTTCATGCATCAGAGGCCTTTAATCTCACTGGGATGGAAACAATAACGGCTTTCAGTTTGTTACTGATGTGATGATGGATAAAGAGCTGCTGCAGATCCAGGATCTGTTATGAAGCTGGGCGCCATGTTAACCCCCACAGCAGATAATCAAAGTGTTAATTAAATTATCTGCTCTTTTATGATGTGAACTTTGTTCTGCCAGCTGACAGCAGATCACTTTATTTTGATTGGACGTTGATTTAATTGGTTGACTTAATAAGCTGAGGAGGGAGTTCAGCTGTCAGTGACCAGCTGCAGCATATGCCTGCCCCCCCCCCCCATTCTGTGGGCAGAATGAGTGTGTGACCTCCCAGTTATAGCCCTTTATGGAGATGAAGCATAAATCATCAGAGGGAGGTGCTAGAACTTTCTGGAAGGACTCCAGTTTGGCTGTGGTTCATAAAAATGGATCCTGCATCTCATAAGAGGCACCATCAGCTGTTTCTCACCCTCCACTAGCAGGAAGAAGCCGTTGGGGTTTTTCTGAAGGATCCGAATGGCTTTTTCTGTGGTCTCAGCGATGGACGGGTCCTTGCTTGGGTCCCTCTCCTTCTCGTAACGCAGATCCCCGGGTTCAAACAGAGCTGTGAGGAAAGAGGCAAACCGCAGCGTTAAAATGCATCAACATCCCCAGCTGCTGAGGCTCCTCCTGTTGCTCTGATCTCACATCAGAAACCCTGCTGACCCTCAGACCTGGGAGGAGAGGAACCTGCAAGATCCTAATTAACCCTTTCCATGCTTTAATAGTCAGCTATTGATCCCAGACGGCAAGACTCAGGGAGGATTCTGCAGCAATGCAGAGTTCAGGGAAACATCTGCAGAACAAACCTGTTTTTACGCCGCATGAAGCCATAATCTGTAAACTAATGTCTCCAAATCACAAGTAATAAAAACAAACAGTTATTCTTTCTAGAATGAGATAGAGTCCAAAAAAAAAAGAGAAAATGGCCCGTCTGCACGTTTGGTCCGTCTGTAAAAGTTACTAAAGCTGGAAGATGTTCAGTCACTGGGGTGTTTCCTGATGCCTAAATGAAATCTGAACCTTTACAGGGAAACAAAGGTGCAATTAACCAAAGGAGGATGGAAACACGATCAATCAAGCAGAATTACCCATCAGATAGTCTGTGGCTTCAGGGTCAACAGCATCAAAGTCCGTTTTATTCCAGACGTAGCGGGCAACCTGAAACACACGCCAAGAAACATCAACAAGCAGGAAAGTCAAACAATTTGTGCTTTTAGCTCGATGGCTAATTCTTTCAAACCGGTGGTTTTTATTTCACCCCCCATTGTGTGGAATGATTTTTAAAAACTATTTGACTCAAATCTGCTTTGAATTAGATGCATATTTGTGAGCGACATGAAAACATGGAAAACAAATTATTACCCAGCAATTCACTTTAACACAAAATAACAAACTTTGCTGAATAAAATAAGTATCTTAAACACAAGTCTGTCCCGTTTAACTGAAAGTGAAGATAAAACAATAAATAAATAGTGCACATTTTTGGTGCCATATTTGTGCCATAAATGCAATGACTGTAGGCTGCAATCGTAAAACAGCAATAAAAAAATCCTTATGAGGATGAGGGGATTCTGGATCGTTACATGAATGCTGTCAGCTCATTGGTCACAATGCAGGACAGGGACGGGAACAAATTTACCGTAAGTTTTGTATCTAACGTGCCCTTGTCCTTCAGTTTCCATTGGCTGTTTACTGTTTTTTACTCTCCCAGTAATGCGGGACAAAGTGCGTTCCACTAAATGCGGGACGGGTGCTTCTATTTCTAAATACGGAGCGATTGATGAACCCAACTTATTTTAGGGCGTCTGCTGCAGGAACCCCATGTAGAAACTTCAGCACCTTTTCTTCCATCAGTCCACTGCTTTAATCGCTGCTTTAATCGCTGCTTTAATCGCTGCTTTAATCGCTGCCTGATTTCTTGCATCAACCAGGAGGCTGATTCATTCAACACATTTTATTTCCATAAGTTTTATCCGTCTGATGGATCCGTTTTGTGCAGACGGCGTGAAGCTGTTTATCTCCGGTATATAAACTCTGCAGCGGTTGGAGATGAACTACCTTTCCTGTTTTCATGCTCTGCCACTCCTGGATTAAGTTTCGTCCGTCTTTCCTTGTGCCCCATGCAGATAAATCTGAGGGGTACTCTGGGTCCTTGGTGAACCTGGGAGTCATGTACTTCCTGCCTCCACCAATGATCACCTGCCACAAACAAGCACAGATTACAGATTTCACATTTAGGCAGATCAGCGCTTTTATAACAAAAGTCTTTCTCAAAACGGTCCAAGCTAATGATCGCTGCTACGGTGTAACATACGTCAATATCGATGTTTTTGATCAGCTGGGATGCTATGTCAGTGCAGTTTTCCTCTATGGCTGCATCTGGCATGTCTGCATCGCTGTACCACGACCTGCTGGCGCTGTGGGCGTAGGTGGCTGCAGGGGTGGCGTGCTGCACCCGCGTGGTCGTTACTACACCCACAGACTTACCTGCAACATAAACACCAACAAAAACAATAAACACCAACAAAACAATAAATACCAACAAAACAATAAACACCAACAAAACAATAAACACCAACAAAACAATAAACACCAACAAAACAATAAATACCAACAAAACAATAAACACCAACAAAACAATAAACACCAACAAAACAATAAACACCAACAAAACAATAAATACCAACAAAACAATAAACACCAACAAAACAATAAACACCAACAAAACAATAAACACCAACAAAACAATAAATACCAACAAAACAGCACAATCATGTCTGTGCAATTATATTAACAAAGTAAATGATAGATGTTTTCAGTCAATAATAATCTGACCTTTTCCTAATTAATGTTAAAATAAAGAAAAAAGATCAAAACCTAAAAGACAGATAAAAATGGCTTAAAGAAATAAACTAATTAATTGGGTCTGTAAGTCACAACACATCATTATATGTGAATAAACCCAGTGGAGCTTAAAGATTAGCCCTCCATGGTGCTGAAAGCCTAAAACCAAAGAGTTTGCAGCGGACACGGAAAAAGGTGTTTTATTTTTATTTCAATAACGTTTTTATTTCATGTTGCTGCCATCTGTTGGTAAACATGAGGATGCTGAGTAATGAGGGAAGCTCGCACAGTTAGATCAATTAAGAGTCCAATAGTCAGAGGATTTTATTCAAAAAACAAACAATTTGGTCTAAAGCTTCTCCTAAATGTTTGGTCAGAAGGTCTATACTGTATTAATGTAAATGTTATTTAGCTAAACATAGATTTGCTGCAAGACAAAGAAAATAAAAGCTGCTTGATCAGAAGTAGAGGCGTGGCTTCATTCTGGACCAGATAAAAAACATTTTCTTCAGAGATGAAGAACTTGAGAACAGCTTCAAGAGGTTTGGCCAGTTTGGAAACATTAACTTCATCTGAATAAAAACCTCATTTTATTTCAGTGTTAAATTCTGTTTAAAGTAACAGATTATAATTAAAAATGTCTCCTTTACTGGTTGATGATTTTCTTTATTCGGAGCCCAATGAGTTTGAATTGGTTACCGCTGATCTAGATGGTCTGTAATGTAGAACAGAGAAGCTGTCCTGGACGATCGATACAAGAGAGAAACTGGTTTGGTTGGTTCCTGT